ATGAAGTCACGGTTGTTCCACAGTGGGGTGAGGTTAGATGGAGCTAATGTAGAATTTGTGATTTGGTGAAATTTCCACCAGGCTGTCAGAGTGGTGGCTATAGTTGCATCGATTTAAATGGTAAATGGTAAATGGTAAATGGACTGCATTTATATAGCGCTTTCACAGACCCAATGGCCACCAAAGCGCTTTACAATTTGCCTCACATTCACCCATTCACTCACTCATTCATACACCGACGGGCGACGGCAGCCATGCAAGGCGCCATCCAGCTCGTCGGGAGCAGCTGGGGTTAGGTGTCTTGCTCATGGACACCTCGACACTTGGTCAGGTGGAACCGAGGATTGAACCACCAACCTTCCGGTTTGTAGACAACCCACATGAACCACTGAGCCACTGCCGCCCCTGCCGATTTAGTGAGGAACGGTATGTCAGCTATATTTAATTCTTTGCATAGTGATTGTTCTATATCTAGCCATATAATATCTGATCGGTTGGGGTGAATCAATTTGTATATGTATTGCAATGGGTTAGCCATTGAGTAATATTGAAAATTTGGTGCTTCTAGTCCTCCTTGAACCTTACTTTTTTGTAGTGTAGTGAGTTTTATCCTTGTCGTTTTATTTTTCCAGTAGAAGTGAGTGATAATGGAATCTAGTGATTTAAACCAGGTGAGTTTGGGGTGAGTTGGAATCATTGAGAATAGATAATTAATTTTCGGTAGGATCGTCATTTTTATTGCTGCTATCCTGCCGATTATGGAGATTGGAAGGTTGAGCCACCTGAGCAAATCGTCTTCTATTTTTTTTAGCAGTGGTGTGAAGTTGAGTGTTACCAACTCTGACAGTCTGGAGGAGATCTTAATGCCCAAGTAAGTGATGTGGTCATGACATAAAGGTATAGGTGATTGGTGGGGTGCCACATCCCATTTGGTTTTATGTAAAGGGAGGACGGAAGATTTGTTCCAGTTTATTGCATAATCTGATATTTTTGAGAAGGACTGGATTGTTTTAATTATTTCTTGAGTAGATGCTAGGGGTTCTTGTATATATAGTCGGATATCATCTGCATAAAGTGAGATTTTATGTGTTTGTTGTGGTGTTTCAATACCTTTGATTGCTGGGTTTTGACGGATAGCTGCTGCTAAAGGTTCAATAAAAATAGTGAATAGGGATGGAGAGAGTGGACATCCCTGCCTCGTCTCCCTGTGCAGTGTGAAACTTTGTGACGTTAGTCCATTGGTTGTGACTGTGGCAGATGGTGATGTGTATAAAATCTTAATCCAGTCAATAAATGACTCTCCAAAGCCGAATTTTTGTAATGTGGTGAATAAAAATTTCCAGTTGACCCTATCAAAAGCTTTTTTGGCGTCTAATGTGGCAATGAGAGTATCTTTCTGTTGTACTGATGAGTAATGCATTAAATTGTATAATCTGCGGGTATTATTGGATGCGTGTCTACCTTTTATAAAGCCGGTCTGATCAGGATGGATTATATATGGTATAATTTGTTCAATTCTATGGGCTAATGCTTTGCTAATAATTTTTATGTCGACATTTATAAGTGAAATAGGACGATAGTTAGATGTGAAGGTGTGGTCTTTGTTAGGTTTAGGAATGAGTGATATAAGTGCTGTATTCATGTGGGGTGGGAACTTTGCGTTATGTTTTATTTCCGTTATTGTTCTGCTAAATAGTGGCTATAAAGTTGACCAAAAATGTCCGTAGAACTCAGCAGGGAAGCCATCCGGTCCTGGTGCTTTATTATTTTGCATGTGTTTTAGCGCGGAGTGAAGTTCTTTTTCAGTGTTTGGTAATTCTAGAGAATTAACTTGTTCCATGTTGAGTTTTGGTAGAATGGTGTTATCGAGGAATTGGTTTATGTCTTCTTGGTTTGGGTCCAGATCAGATGAGTATAATTTTGTATAGTATCCTAGAAATATCTTGTTTATCTCAACTGGTGAATTGGTTAGCTTCCCTGCCGAGTTTCTGGTGGAGGTTATAGCTGTTCTTTCTTTATTTCTTTTAATTTGACTGGCTAAATATTTTCCGCATTTATTGCTATGGTGGAAAGTTTCTTGACGGAGCCTGTGAATTAGGAACTGGTTTCTTTTATTTATGATTTCATTAAGCAAAAAAAATGTTTCTCTTATTTCTTCATAGATGCTTTTTGATTGATTATTTGCATGTAAAATTTCTAATTCTTTTATTCTTTCTTCCAGTTGGACTTCTTTTTCTCTGTCCTTTTTTTTTATGTACTGAATATGATATAATTTTTCCCCGTAAAACTACTTTCCATGTTTCCCAGAGCAGTGAAGCTGGTGACTTTGGAGAGTCATTTATTTCAAGGAAGGACATCCACTCTCTCTTGAAGTAGCTGTTAAATTCTGGATCTTTCAAGAGTGATGTATTAAAACGCCATCTGGTGGGGTGCTTCTGTATTGCAGATGGATTCCAAATGTGAGAGTTACTGGAGAGTGGCCAAGTTTTAATAGTGCATTGTAATGTCCATTCACAAAAAGGGGGGTGACAGTTAACCGTTATGTGCCAAATCAACCGTTTGGTTGAGCAAGTTTTTTTCATGGCACCAAGTAACATAATTTTCAGACTGATCTCATGAAATGGCGTATGTATTACACGCCAATTCGTATTTCCATTTTTAGCGTGCTATGAACACGCATAATCGCTTTTTAGCGTGTTTATCAACGCCGTTGACTTAACGTTACATTACTGTATATATATAAATATATGACCTACCCCAACCCCGTCCCTAAACCTACCCGTCACTGGGGTTAATACTATTTATGAGTCTTCCCCTACCATCCTAGGAAAAAAAATATTGCTCCACAGATGTAGATATGAATTTTGCTTCGTTTCGCTCGGACATTTAACGGCGTACACATACACGCGGAATCACTCGGACGTTTAACGGCGTAGACATACACGCAAAAGATGACGGTTCGTTTCGGCGTGGACATACACGCGGATAGCTCAAAATGCGTATAGATAACACGCCACTTGACTTGAAAGTGGCGTGTATGTTTACGCAAAGTCATGATGTCATGTTGTAATTTTGTAAAGGTAGGGCTCTTACAGTGTAATATGTAAAAAAAAAATGCTTAGCTTGCAAAATTTCACCAAAAACAGTTCACGTGGCTGGGGTGATTTATTTGTTTCTGACATCCATGTTAGAAGTATTGTGACAAGTGCTGTTGATTGACACTGTGACATCTAATGGATTTTTTTGGCATAACATACCTCAACCAGATGGTAGAGATGGCTCAATCAGTTTGAGTTAAGTTAGGTACTCCTCTCAGTAAAATATAGTGACTCAAAATGTGCTCAACCGTTTAACAGTTAAAATAACAGAAATGAATGCCCATGCATCTTCCCCAAACTATATAAAACTAGTATGTTTGCATATTGTTCTTCTTCAAATCTTGTGCATTTAGCCCAATGTGACGTCTGATTTTATATTCTTTGTCAACCCAAAGGGGATGCAGTCCCTATTGTATACGGATATTTCCGCACTATTATTTTTCTTCCCAAATGGGAGTGTATGGCAGCCTATAAACAGAACATGAGAAAATGATGAAATTTGGCACAATTGTAGAGATGGTAATTATTAGTGATTTGACCAATTTTGGAGTCTCTAGGACCAACTCTATAGCTCCACCACCAGTTCAAAAATTCACTTTTCTAAGAGTTATAACTTTAGAATCCTTTGTTCCAGAAAAATGTAATTTAGTTCACCTGAATCCGCTTTTCATGCTGATCACATTCAACATTTTAAGACTCTGCCCATTACAGTAGTGGCCATTTTGAAAAGTACAGTATACCATTTATTCACTGCTGCTCCTCCTTCAAAATGTGTCAAATTTTGTACAAAATCTGATCAGATGATCTTAGGACTGAGCCGCAGAGAAATTAAACAAGATTGACCTAAAATTGGTTCAGAGGCAGTATCTCGGCCAAACTTTGGTCAATCGAAACGAAAATTGGTAAGCTTTATCAGAACCATGATTTGAGGGTCCATGCCAAATTTGGGAACAGCGCTACCTACAGGTCATGAGATCTGAAAAAAAAATGCAATTTTTGCTAATAACTTTTGAACATTTTGTCATTTTATTCATGATCTTAGTGTCTTTGGATTCCTTGTGTCCCGCTGAATCCGGGGATACCAATTTTTCCAGGATCGGAGGAACCTTCAGTTCGCCATTTTGAATTTTGTCATAAATTGCCATATCTTTTAAAGGATTTGACATATCGTCACAAAATTAGGTAAGCATCATCTTCGGGATGTCCTGAAGGGACCTGAGAAGTTTCAACACCTTGCCACTTAGTGTTCGAGAGATATGATTTTTTTTTTTGTACATTCCTTGGTTTATTGCGATTTCGACAATATCTCTTTTGTCATTTCCAACAATGTGACTGTACACCATATTGAGGCAAATAAAAATAAAAAAAAACAGTTTTTTCGCTACTCCTACCAATTTTGTCCAATTTTGTCCAAATCAGCTCAGATGATCCATTGTGTTCACGTGCTCAGCAGTGGTGCTATGAGATGAGTGACACGTCCCTGACCCAGAGGCTATGGGTTTGCGTCCTGTGTACGACTACTTCAAATGTGCTATTTCAAATCCTTTATTACCCGGTTAAGCATTGTACTAATCTTTCTTCCTCCAGGATTAGAAATAAGTGTATTTTTGTTCATTCTGTGATCATCTAAACTAAAGTTAATTTTGAGTTCATCCTACATGTACATCTGGACCTTTCTGTTCATCATGTACATTTTATTTCTGCTGTTTTTGTTCTTCCAGCCCCGCATCGCTGGTTGCAGCTTTATTTTTCCTAATTTTAAATACTATGCTATATTTGTGATTTGTGTATTTTGTCCACCACTGGTTATGATCATTAACATGCATTTCTCTATCATTTGTAATCCATATTTTCACAGCTACGAAAGCAGTCAACAATGAAAAATCAACAATGGACACCAACCTATTTGTTCTTCAGTATCTTCATGTTTTATTCTGGATGGTTCTGGATCACTCATGTCTTCAATCTCCACTTTAATAAACTCCATCTTTAACAGTCACACAGATTTCAGCTGCTACTCCTGGAGTTTGTCCTTCTTTTGTAGGATGATGGGAATATTCCCAGTATTTATTGGTGAATTGTTGTGGGAGGGGCTTCACAGCAGGTGTGAACTGTGATCACTGTGTGATACTGACGCCCACAGGACCAGATCTGGAAAAATAAAAGATAAGTTACTGAATTCATACTGGATTACTTTAACAGTAAACACATTTGGTGCCTTAAAAACAGCTCTAAGTTGCTCATTGTTATATTGCCTGTTGCAGTACAGATATTTTCTGTTCCACCCCTTTGTTTAATTTCACTTTCTCTGTCTCCTCCTCCCAACTATACAACATCAGGATTGGAAGAGAGGACCAATTAAGGGGGAAAAGTAAACGTATATAGTAGGGATGCACGATATAGGATTTTGGCCGATATTCGATATGCCGATATTTTCAAACTCATTTTGCCCGATGCCGATACCGATACCGATATATTTGTATTTTTTTTAAGTGCAAAAAAAGCTTATTAAAGCTTCTATTAATGTTCTCAGTCAAGAGCAGTGAGTGATTTCCTCTGTGTTTTGTTGTTTTATTAACATTAACGGGATAGTTCTCCCAAAAATTTAAATTGTCATCATTTACTCTCTCAAGTTTCTTTCTTCTGTTGAAATTATAAAAGTTATTTGGAAGAATGTGGCTAACCAAACAGTTGCTGTACTCCAGTGACTTCCATAGTATATTTAAGCACAAGAAAGAAATGAATCCAGGTTTGAAACAACATTAGATAGACAGAATTTTTATTTCTGGGTGCAGTATCTCTTTAAAGACAAGCGGCAGAATATTATTACTGTCTCTTTAAGAACTGCACGCGAGTAACGCGACGCGTCTAATATACACGCATTTGACAAGCAGATTTTCTGTTTGCTTTCACTTTAGACATAACCAACTTTGTTTATGTAAACCTTGTGTGTATTTGACAGTATCAGCGCAATAAGACTGGAAAGATTAGTCCAGTATGCAGGCGCTGTGACAGGCTTTTAGTTCCTGTGAGCGTCGGGTGTAACGCGCTCAGAAAAGCGGATGTTAGAACAGCGCATCAGCACGTGAATGACATGTTTACCTAGCAAGACTTTGACGCACATGCAAACAATGAACTTTTGTGAATTGCGGTGTCCCGTGAGTGTAACTCTACCTCTGCGTTTACATGTGATGTGATGTGAATGTACGTCGCGTTGTACAGTATGTTGAGATGAAGGCGCCAGAATTGAACTGATAGAATGCACGATACTATGATTTTTCTTCAAAAGCAGATAGTGGAGACATTTTAATCGTCCACGATCAAAAACCGTGAGACGCACGGCACACCCCTAGTTGGAAGTTTAAGTTGCTGGCGCTCATGCTTCGTTCACGGTCGTCACGTGCGCATAGGAAACACGCCACCCTATCGGCAAGGCTCATCGGCAGAAATATTCATATCGGCCGATGCCGATGATGGTCATTTTAAGCTTTTATCGGCCGATACCGATGTTGTCCCGATATCATCGTGCATCCCTATATAGGGGCGAAGTTTAGCGTCTGGGGAGAAACATTCTGCTATGTTCCCTTTATCTTTAGAAGAGTGTGTGTTTCCATGGATCGTGGAGAGGAGGTGGTGCTACCTGGTTAGAATGTCGCTAGCAGGCGTTTCCTTCGGCCGGTGAACGCCTCTTTGTCAAGATTGGGTCTGGACATGAGTTTTGCACCAAACTTCAAAAATTGGTGCCTTTGTGGAGCAGTAAAAAAGAAAGTAGCAAGATGGGCTGACGTCGCCGATGTACACGAGTCAATCTTAGCTATCCGTGCTGCCAACTTTAGCTATATTCACAGACTCACATTCTATTCCTACACAGACACACATACACACAAAATACGCATTGTTGCATATTGATATGAGTGCTGATTTTTTTATATATTTTTTTATATTCACATTTATTTTGAAATCTTAATTTTCAAGGCTCTATATGGCTCAATCCCCTTGATATGGAGATCTCAATGTGGCTCCATGTTCAATTTGTTGAATTTTACCCATTTTCAATGGTCAAAAACCAAATATGGTTCACTTTGCACACAGATGATACTAATTGCATTTAAAGGGTAATGAAGATTAAATAATATTGAAACTATAAATGTATCTTGTTTTCCTCTAGAGTGCCAAAAAATTAATTTGAGGCACATTAACAAGAATCTATATTTTAATTTTTATTCCAGGGATATTTCGAAGAAGGGCTTTCAGTGTTTCCTCTAGGATTTTTTCCAGCTGTGGTGGCAGGCCTATTTCCACAGGGGAGGGGGCATCCCCTTTGAAACTTACCAAAAAGTATTATAGGCCTAATATGCGCATCCCGTGCGCAGAATGATGCTGTCACAGTGTCTGGTTGTGTTTCCCTGGGTTATCACTAGAGGTCCTCGTTCTCACGGTGTCATTCACATTTACTACATTTCCCAGCATTCTAGTCTGTCACTCATCTAATAGGCTAGTTGCACGTGGCGGCCATTTTGGATTTTTGATCAGCGAGTGTGCGGTTGGACACTTCCGGTTTCGCTTTACGGCCGGTGCAGGGAGCCGGAGAAAGCCGAAAATGATCTCTTATAGTTGTTTATAGAATCAATTATATCATTTAAAATACTACTAAGATATATATTACTATCACATGAGCAAATGGCAATTAAATGCACGGATGCAAAGTCAGATTAATGAATGAAATACAACTGCACGAACAGAAGATTGTCTTGGTCTCATGCTGCATACGCAATGAGAAGCCTTCTGTAAACATTGAGTTACAACTACGATTATATTTGATTATATCTGCAGACCTGATTTTGCGGGACACGGAGAGAACTTGCTATTATTATACTAGGTGAATAAATATAGATTTTATATTAGATGTCTTTTTGCAGTGATATGCTTTAAATTGCTAATGTTAATGACGGCGCTGACCGGCGCTGTGAACCTCACTAATAATATAAAACTCATTTTAACAGCACGGGTCTATTCAATCTAAATAATTAAGTGAAAATAATAATCCAATCGCTAAAAAACACATTTCCAAATAAGCACATACATTCCATAGGAAAGACTAGAGAGATTAAATGCGTTCTTACCGGATTCAGTGCATCTTGAATTTATGTTTTTTGTCTGATGGCAGCTTCAAGTAGGGGCTTCTCATTCATTATGTGTCTAGACACATCTCCTTTTTTAGGGTCACCTGTAACTGGTTTTTACCATGTTTTTTTCTCCCAAGCTTATACGAACAAGACGCTTTTTCTTCTCGGGAGGCCAGATCCATTTTTCTGTTGCTGTTTTTTTTTTGTCTGTGTGTGTGGGGGTTTCTCAGTGTTTGTTTTCCCTCTCTGACTAGAACCAATAAATACAGCTGCGCTGCGCATGTTCAGTGTTTTATTATTAACATTTTTTATTGTAGAATTGTCATTTAAAGGACGATGAAATAAAATGATGCAGACGAAATTAAAATGTGGGACACTGCTTATGACTTGCGGGACGTGGGACAAAGCTTCAAATTTCGGGACTGGTCACCAACGGGGAATGCATGAAAAGCTGACTTCTTTGTTTTAACGTGTTTCATAACGAGAAACAGTTACCGGTAAGTGCTGAGGCTGTCAGTTCTGAAAGGCAAGTCGCCTCCCTTGAATTTTAAAAACACTCATGTGCATCAAAAGCATCTGTCATCAGAGGGTGACAAAAACACCCGGGTCTGTTGTCGGCATTACTTTATTTGGTAACATTATTATTGCTCTTTTGTATTTTAGTATGTCATTTGAATGCATATAATTTTCAGCGTATTTCACCTGTGCGTTTCTATGCGTTCTATTACTGCATTTATTTTGTGCAAGTGAGATGAGTAAAGATCATCTTAAATCATAAATATTTCATAAATCATTATCTGTTTTTTTTTTTATAAGCAGCACATACAGTATTTGCTGTAAAATATACACAAACTTATAGCTAGGCCTATATTAAATTGTTTGTGTTAACTAACGTTACAGTTAAAAATGTAAATTACTCGCAATTATTACGAATTTTTTTCGCCGTCGTTTTTATCTATAAAGATAAGTGATGCAAAGAAAGCATGTAAGGAAAATATGTGTTGATAATATTGATCGAGCAACTGATGTGAGTGAAAATATATGAAAATAGAAATGAGAAAATAGTAGGCCTATTTATGGAGATAAATAAGACAGGGCAAACGTGTGAATGTTCAGGCGGTATTGTATGCAAACAAATATAATCGTAGTTGTAACTCAATGTTTACAGAAGGCTTCTCATTGCGTATGCAGCATGAGACCAAGAATCTTCTGTTCGTGCATGAACAGTTGCATTTCATTCATTAGTCTGACTTTGCATCCGTGCATTTAATTGCCATTTGCTCATGTGATAGTAATATATATCTTAGTAGTATTTTAAATGATATAATTGATTCTATAAACAACTATAAGAGATCATTTTCGGCTTTCTCCGGCTCCCTGCACCGGCCGTAAAGCGAAACCGGAAGTGTCCAACCGCACACTCGCTGATCAAAAATCCAAAATGGCGGCCACGTGCAACTAGCCTATTATCACACTCAGCTGTATCCCGTCACCTTGTTAGTTCTGTGTGTATATATTAGGGGTGCGCCAAAATATCGATATGGCGATATCTCACGATATTTACTCCCGCGATTGATTCTCGATGCGCTCTTGCCAAGTATCGATCTTAAAAGCCGTTATAAAACGCTCTATTCATTATCCGAGTTGACTGGATTTGACTAGCTTTCATAAGGGAAAAAAAGCAAAGTCTCTCGCTCTCTCCCTCTCTGCCGTGCTATGTATGTTATGCGCGCAGTAGGCTGTTCTGTCTCGCATGCGCGCTCTAGATTCCGGGAGATTTGAACTAATTTGCGGGCATCAGGGAGACGCTATCATTATGCGGGAGACTCCCGGAACTTCCGGGAGACTTGGGATGTCTGGCTTTGCAAAAGTCCGCAAAACGGGAAACACGACCACATGTACAGACACCTCACGCGGCATCACCCGGAGCTCTGTGAGAAAGCCGTGGTTGGTGCTGGCTCGAAGCCGACACACCCCGGCGTAAACATTTTTATTACTACTGATTGCAGCAATGTTACACTAAAATAGTGTCTGTGACTGTTTTGTTGCAACTGATAAGACACAAGTTGTTTTTGTTATTGTGTTTCATCCCAAAAAATAAATGGAGATTAATTTTCCTAATTAAAAAAAAATTTGTATTTCTTAAAACATGATATATTGTGAGTTATTACTGATAATATGTCGATTATCGCAGTATCGCCATATCGTGATATTATCGGTATCGTGAACAATGTATCGCATATCGTATCGTATCGTGAAGTACCCAGCGATTCTCAGCCCTAGTATATATTCCCTGTCTGTGTCAGTGTTTGTTACGGAGTCCTTGTTAATGTCCCCACACTTCCGTTCCTGTTGTTGCGTCTTGCTCGTGTTTTGTCGTTTATGTTCTTGGACTGTCTTTGTTGGAATTTGACCCTTGCCTGGACTGGATGTGAGTACGGATTAACCCTTTTAATAAATACCAGCAATTGGATCTACGTTGTCTGTGTGTGTGTTCGTGACAGATGCGCTTGGAGCAACATGGAGTCATTGCGTGCAGTGCTTTGCATTGAAAAATGCAGAAAACAAGGGGGAGATAAATTGATGCTTATTGTATCATATCTATGTAACAGTTTGTTGAGCCTTTTCTTTTAACAGTTGTAAATTTAATTTACTGTGCGCATGAACAATTAATAGTGATATCTACTCCAGTGTGATCTAACAGACATTTTAACATTTTATTAGTTTTAACAGCTTCTGAAGCAACCAAGAGTTAAAATACACAGTATCATAACTGCATGTTATCTCTGGGATTGAACCATATAGGGCCTTAAAATTAAGATTCCAAAAAAAAAAAGTTTATTAAGAATTAGCATCTCTAAGGATATTAAGATATCTTTAATACTTTTAGAGTTATAGGCACGTAAACTGAACGGAAAAATAATATGGGACAACTATATTCTATGCAATTGTGTTGATAGAAAAAAAGAATTCTAACAAAATTTCTAGTTTCAACATTATTGGTTCAAATATTTCTCTATGAAAGAAAACCGTATCAGCTATATGCAAAGTAACCCATATTTGTTTTTTGACCGCTAAAAATGTGTACAATTTACAAATTTTCAAACATTAGCAAAAGGAACTTTTTTAATACTTCCCTGTCACTGAATAAATATATTGATGTTTTACTTCTTTAAAATTAATACATTTTTTATATTTTGTGAATAAATGATGATGTGGGCTTATTTGGAACACATGCGGGCTTAAATGGTGCCAAAAGTACCAATTAAGCCCATGCCAGACTTCTGACTTTATTCATAAATTATCTTAATTTTATATTCAAAAATGTACATCAACTAATTAATAGATTTTCAAATGAGAGATAAATCTTGCATTTTAACTAATTATTTTCCTTATAAACCTTGTCATTATCTATTAAAAAACCTAGACTTAGATTTTGGTGGGCTTAATGGGTACACTTACCCTAAGTCTTCTCCAAAGGCGTTTCAGATTGTAAATGCGTCATTATTTTACCATAGCCCGGTGAACACTGACACACTCCCTCTCAGTGTGTGTACAACATCCGCGCCTTTTGCATCAATAAAATGCAATCGGTTAATTTCAGTTACAAGTTGTAATCATACATGAGAGACGGAAAGATGCAGATAACTATACATTATTTAAGGTTATTTCTATTCGTTACGATATTGATAAATTAACTGTTGTTGTCAAGTAAGCTTCATGCTTTCTATACTGTAGCCTACATGTGCTGCATGGCTCTAGTTGACTGCTGCACATTTTCCCCCGGAAATATACGTTAATGACAACCCTTTAGAAAACATAATTCCTTTAAGGATACTCTTGATCTGCTTTCTCCATGTTTCTTTGACAACTCTCAGTGTCTGAGTCTCACGCACGCCGCAACCACACCCACTTATTTAGGCTACATGTCGCGGTATACACGGTTGACATTTTCTACCGCGGTAATGATATATTTATATGATATATATAAAAAAAGTTATATCACACTGATCATAGTTGAATGGCTTTTCTCCAGAGTGACGGTGCAGATGATTATTGAGATCTGTTTTTACACAATATATATATATATATATATATATATAATAATGTGTGCAGCTTTTAAGTTCAGATGATCCCAGATCTGCCAAATTCAGGGTTACTGAATTTATACTGAAATACTTTAATAATTACACTTCTTAAATTAAATGCATGGTTTGATTTTGAAAATATATTTATTTTGATATTAGTAGCATTTCATTTGGCTTAATGGTAAGGTTGTTCATTTTTATGAATGAATGAATTTTTATTTTTTTTATCCAGATTTAATAAGGATGAAACAAGACACCGGTTAAAACTATCACATAATATAAAGATAACAGAAATCATACACGTACAGACCGAATAGAGGCTATTAATGACTATTTAATTATCTGTACGTTTCACTACAAACAATGTACATTTAGTGATTTAGACAACACAAACATCAATTCTTACATGATAAATATAACATATCTGACCTGCAGACTGGAAATATACGACATCCGAAGAAAATATTCCACATTTGTCCTTCATTCACGATCGTTAACAGAGTCACTTTCAGCTTCAACTGATTAGTTTCAACAAGAACATAACAATAACATACACTTAGCATACATTATCATAATGATCCTAATGTAATCAACTAACGTTAGTACATAACGTCAAAGGAAACAACAAAAAGAAAAAAGAGACGAACTAAAACAAATAGAGGGCTCTCACGCATCCTCCTCTGCGCATGCTCAGTGCGCGCGGTGTCATTTTTCTTAAAGGGGCCGCATTCAGTAAATCTCCGCAGTGTTATGAAGCAAATACAATAATTAAAATCATAATTAATAATACAAAATAATTATACATATATAATATAAAGCTATATGACTAAATGACGTTTGCTTAATTACATGCAATTCATTTCAGAATGTATTTTAGAATGCATGATGGCGAAGCATGTTTGGCCCGGTTTTCATTGCATTTACACTGTTCTGACCACTAGGGGTCACCATGGAGACAGGTGTCGGATTGTTTCGAAGCCTCGACACAATACAGCACATTTGCTTCAACTGTTTCAGTGTTTCACAAAGCCTCGATCTGCCCACCACTAAAGAAACCAGGCAAAGAACACAATAATCCAAACACAAGAAAATCCAGATATTGAACCACAAAACATCCAACAAAGGACAACACCACACCAGAACATGGGAAACACTGAAGTATATATACACAAGGGTGATTGGAAAACAAGACACACCTGCGAACAATCAGGAACTAATCAACTGGATAAACCACAAGGGCTACAAAACATGCCATGAAACAGGAAATAACAAAAGAGTGTCTGGAAATGAAGCAGCAGATAAACTAGCAAAACAGTCTATGGCAAAGGAAACTATAGATATGCAAATTAGGTATAGTAAATTAGAAATCAAATCAATAATTAAAAGGGAGATAAATAAAAATTGGCAATCGTATTGGGATAATGAGGAAAAAGGTAGACATTTACATTTAACACAACCATTGGTAGGTAGAGGAAGGAATTCAAGTGGGAGAAGGAAGGAAGACTATTTCTAGATTAAGACTGGGACATACAGGACTTAATTCAACAATGCAAATAATAGGAAAACATCCTACAGGATTATGTGAATGGTGTGGAAGCAGAGAAACAGTGGAGCATGTACTTATTAAGTGTAATAAATATTCTGAGGAAAGAAGAAAGATAATTGAAGAATTTGAGATGGAAGATAATCAACAATTAACATTAAAGATGCAACTCAGTAGAAGGGGGTAGGTTAATAATAAAGTTTTTAAGTAGAACAAATTTGATCTTTAGAATATAGATAGGCTATTAGTATTTTTAGTATCAGTATCCCTCTCTGGAAGATGAGGGACTTTGGCTGTAGATGGAGGAGCTAAACACACAGCAACATTGAAAGCACGAGTCCTGATTGTTCTGGGAGTTGTGATGATCTATTACCTACAGTAGATGGCGGTAATGCTCTTTTTAAGAATGCGAACCGCCAATAAGCCCAAAGAAGAAGAAGAAGAAATAACAGAAGTCCATGTTCGGTACACGATCCGTTCCACCTGCACGATCCGTTCTACGCATGCGTAGTAGACGCAGTAGAAAACGCACATGCGCAAATTATAATTCTGTTTTGCGATGCTGATTTTGATTTACGACACTGCACGATCTGTTCCACGCATGCGCATATTTGTACCGCGAAACTTTCATTCACTCACAGCAAAAGAAAATGGAGTTCAGTGGAAGAAATGAGCGAAATGAGAAGTTTGCCCTTTACGCTGCCGTTAGACAATATTTGGTTGACGGGTTGGTGGATGCAGCGTTGAAGAAGAAGGTCTCACGAATGGCTGCAAATTTTGTTATAAGAGGTACGTGAGTGCATAGACATCATTATTGATAGACGCCCTATCAACCGCTAAGTTACTGCCAGTGTCCCATCTTAGACCGGTCACCCGCTGTAATCTGTTTGGCAGGTGCAATGAGCTGTCAGCGCATTAAATTAATTATACCTCACTGAATATCAAACTGATTTTCGCGCGGTTTTTTTTTGCTGCAAATGTCATTCATGTAGCTATGATACAGGACACATGGTTCGGCGTATTTTAATATTCACAGTAGGCTTACAGTAATATAATATTCTGATATAAGATATACAGTGACCAGACACAATATATGATGTATGTGATGTAGGATATAAGGTATTTTATAAATCACACACTATAAATATGATAAAGAAGCAGAAACAGATAGTTGCAGTAAAGTAAGATATTTTAATAAGTTGACACAAACAAACACGAACAGACACTCTCTCACACACAAACTCACACACAAACAAACAAACCGGAACAGACACAAACATACTCCCTCTCACACACAAACACACTCTCTCACACACACAAACTCACTCTCTCACACAAACACAGACACTCTCTCACTCATACAAACAAACACGAACAGACACAAACAGACCATTCAAGTTGAATTATGATTTGTGACACACACACTCACACACAAACAAACACGAACAGACACTCTCTCACACACAAACTCACTCACTCACACACAAACAAACAGGAACAGATACAAACAGACACCCTCTCACACACAAACACACTCTCTCTCACACACAAACTCACTCGCACACTCTCTCACACAAACAGACACTCTCTCACACACAAACACACACTCTCTCACTCACACACAAACAAACAGGAACCGACACCCTCTCACAAACAAACAGACACACACACTCTCTCTCTCTCTCTCTCTCTCTCTCTCTCTCTCTCTCTCTCTCTCTCTCTCTCTCTCTCTCTCTCTCTCTCTCTCTCTCTCTCTCTCTCTCTCTCTCTCTCTCTCTCTCTCTCTCTCTCTCTCTCAAAAAGCAAGACTATGTAAACAAAAACACAGCCACTGTACAAAAGTGGCAATTATAGAATAACGGACACAGCAATGCATCATGTTCTATAAGATCATCATGTTTTTAGCATAATCCAGGGGATTAAAACGTACAAAATATATTTCAGGCCTAGTGAAGTTGGTAACTAACTAATAATAGTAGTAATTGTAATTGTGTAAAGTTGCATAAAATGGTAATACTCACTAATGCAAGAAAAAACTACCTCAAAAAACTGTTATCTGTGCTGTTGTCCAGTAACTCCAGTTGGAAACTTCACCCCAAAATGGCGGGCTACCGAAACGCCACCTAGTGGCTGTTACCAAAAAAAGCATCAGAGTTTCGCCTCTTGTTCTTCTATACTCTGGTATTTGAAAATAATATTTCGCATTGTTTTAGTTAACACGTGTGAGCATGTCAGTAACGTTCCATCTAGTCAGACATAGTAACCGCCAACATTTTTCACCACACGTGTTTGCATCCCTGAACAGACACATGTGCACATACGTGCTGTATTGTAATACCAAACAAAGCAGCAAAATCATTACGTTACAAACATTGTTTGTCTATCACAGAAAGTAAATTATTCTACATTGGCCCCAGTGCACAATTCATGAGGCTGGTTGTGCTGTCTGATGAGCAGAGGCGGGCTGTCCTGGAGGAGTGCCACAACAACCCTGGAACAGGGAACCATGGGGGCGTGAGGGCGACCATGGACAGGGTTGCTGTGGGGTACTACTGGGATAACATAAAGGCAGATGTGGCAGATTGGGTACTTTTTTGGAACTTTAATGGAATTTGACACTATGGCTCTCAGGCAATGAATTGATTTAGTGGCTTTGTTTGACTTCAGATAATTATTTTGTCTAAATAATATAATTATTTTGTCTAAATAATAAATGTATCCATCAGGTCAAAAGCTGTCACAGATGCCAAAAGAACGACCCCATAAAGACTGTGTCTCCTGCCCTTCACCCTATTAAGGTAGAGCTTACCTTGGTGTACCACTTAAAGCAACAAGTTAGGTGATGTGGTAATATTACATATCTCCACAGGTGAAAGAGCCGTGGGAGGTGGTCGGTATGGACCTCATTGGTCCACTGAAAAAAACCATGAAAGACCATCAATACGTCCTCACGGTGACAGACCTGTTCACCAAGTGGGTTATCGCTGAGCCTTTGAAGTGTGGCTCTAGCACTGAGGTGGCTGAGGCACTTGTGTCAAAGCTCTACACATTTGGTATGGTCCGGAAAATCATCACTGACAGGGGCCGTGCATTTGTTAACGAGGTATGTGTCCTTATTACCCTCTCCCTTCACACAGGGCATATGGCATCATCACAATTCATTGGTCATTTCTGAGACCAATAAATATTGAAAATAACCATGTGTGTCTGATGTACAGCTTAATGCACACATATTTGCGGCGTTGAACATCAAGCATGCCATCACAAGTGCATACCATCCCCAGTCAAACGGCCAAGTAAGTGTGCCCTCATGACATCCCGCAAAACAGTAAAGTCCATTTTAGCCAATGTACACTAAAGTGCATGTAACAATTCCTTTCTATGTTGAAGGATGAGAGAACTAATCAAAATATAAAGAGGACTCTCAGAAAATATGTTAATCAGCACCATGATGATTGGGACATCCACTTACAGGCCATAGTTTATGGAATAAACACTGCAAAACAGGTTATTATTCAAAATGACTAGATAACATATGTTGCATACATGTTTTAAGAGTTTTATTTTGTGATTTGATGCAAAACATTTTGTTTCAAATTAGAGATCCACCAAGTACAGCCCGTACTTTTTAATGTACAATAGGCACCCCCGTCTACCACAGGCATTAAATGTCTGTGAGACAGACGCTGCCTTTGAATTGGCGGACCCAGAGGAGGAGCTGGAGCTAAAACTAGCTGGAGTCAAGGCCCTCAATGAAACGGTTTGTTCAGAGTTGTGTGAATGGCATGTTCAATTTGAATAAGAATGTTCGCATAGTAATATATTCTTATCTTTAAGGTACGGAAAAACATTGAAAAGGCACAGGGGAAACAAAAAAAGGCTTTTGAGGCAAAGAAAAGGAAAGGGGTTCGCCAGTGCTCAGTTAAGGCAGGGGACGAGGTCCTAATTGGGGAGCCCAAAAAGAAGGTGAAGAAGG